GAGAAGAGAAGAGAAGAGAAGAGAAGAGAAGAGAAGAGAAGAGAAGAGAAGAGAAGAGAAGAGAAGAGAAGAGTTGGAAGGAATCTTTGAGGTCTTCTAGTCCAAACTCCCAGAAGCTTCCTATTCATTGCACCAAACCCTGCCCCTATGCTACCGACCAGACTTGACGGGACAGATTGTCATAATTAGCATCAAAGAATAGCCTTCTTTAAATTATTTGAACTGTTGGTAACGTTAATTCCTATCTGATCCGCTCTTTTGATACACTGAGCACTATGCTGAAAAGCTTAAAGTCTTCATCATTAGCTCTAATAGAATTGCCTGAAGCTTAAGAAAATAGAAAATATTGTGGGGGTCCTTGGTGCTCTCTGAGTCTGGTAGTTTTCTTGCAGACCTTTCATTACCCAACTAGGTAACATCATCAGTGATAAAAGGGAGTGGGTTTAGCTTTCATTTGAGCACCCCACTCCCTTCTAGCACACGGTTCAACCCTGAGCTACAAATATTCTCTTCTGCCAGTAGTATAAAATATTATTACCTGTGATTGTATTCTATGCATTCGGGTGGAAGGTCATTGATGTCTTCAATCAATACGAAAATTTTAATTTCAGCAGTTCTTTCACGGGTAACCCTAACCCTATCCTCAACACGAATGATCAAAGAAATATTAGGATTGGTTCTGATCCCAGCAGCTTCACGATTTAGCCGGCCGGCCACCAAGACCGTACCTGTCACTAAAACAGAAATAAGCTGTTAAGTCGTTTCCAGGCACCACCACAGCCGTAGCTTTTGACGACGACAGAAACCCGTTTTTATGTATTTGTATTCCGCTTTTAATATTTTTATAAATAACTCACGGCGACAAACGTATTCAACACAGCTTCAGTGCTGGGTTTCAAATTTTTTTTACTACTGGTTCTGTGGGTGTGGCTTGGTGGGGGTGGCTTGATGGGCGTGGCAGGGGAAGAATACTATAAAATCTCCATTCCCTCCCCAATCCAGGGGAAGGTTACTGCAAAATCCCCATTTCCTCCCGATCAGCTGGGACTTGGGAGGCAGAGAATAGATGGGGGTGGTGCCAGTCAGAATTTTTACTACCTGTTCTCCGAACTACTCAAAATTTCCGCTACCGGTTCTCCAGAACTGGTCAGAACCTGCTGAAACCCACCTCTGCACAGCTTCCTCCTCCTACTGTCCCCACAACAGCACCTATGACATGGATTTAGTTGAAAAAAAAATAACTGGCCCAAAGTCACCCAGCTGGCTTTCATGCCTAAAATGGGACTAGAACTTACAGACTCCTGGTGATTGGATGCCTTTCATGCCTAAGGCAGGACTAGAACTCAATGTCTGGTGATTGGCTCAAAGTCTTCCAGCTGGCTTTCATGGCTTTTAATTTTGCTTAATGAGTCTGTTTCTCAAGGAGCCTTGGTAGGACAGTGGTTTAATGCACCCTGTTATTAACACAGCTGCCTGCAATTTCTGCAGGTTCGAATCTTACCAGGCTCAAGGTTGACTCAGCCTTCCATCCTTTCTAAGGTAGGTAAATTGAGGACCCAGTTTATGGGGGCAATAAGCTGACTTTGTATAAAATATACAAAAGAATGAAGGCTATTGCTTAACGCATTGTAAGCCGCCCTGAGTCTCCGGAGAAGGGCAGCATATAAATCAAATTAAAAAAAAAAAGATTAATTCCTTACTTGGATTGATGGAGAATTTAGGGATCGCTTCAGGAACTCCCATGCTGTAGCGAAGGCTATGAATAAAATCTTCGCCATCGGGATCCTTGGCTGTTATATTGGCTACAAACATGCCTACTGGAGCCTCTTCACGAATCTTGAAAACTTTCTCTTTCCTAGAATAGAAATTAGACAGGACATGTTTGGATATGTTTTGATCGGCTGTCTCTTGTAATCCTTAAAATATAGCTAATACAACGAAGGGTTACAATGTAAAAGCAAAAATTTAATTATCCACGGGACTCAATAAGCTTGGCGATTTTCTTGCAGATGTTTCATTACCAAAAACTAGGTTACGTCATCAGTGCTGGAAGGAAGTGGGGTTTGCTCTTAAGATATACTGATGATGTTACCCAGTTTGGTAATGAAATGTCCGCAAGAAAACCCTCCTCCTCATCATTGTCCTCTTCTTCCTCTTCTCCTCCTCCTCCTCCTCCTTCTTTTCTCCTCCTCCTCCTCTTCTTCTTCCTTTTCTCCTCCTCCTCCTCCTCTTCTTCTTCTCCTCCTTCTCCTCCTCCTTCTCCTCTTCCTCCTCCTCCTCTTCTCTTCTCCTCCTTTTCTCCTCCTCTTCTTTTCTTCTTCCTCCTCCTCCTCCTCCTCCTGCTCCTCTTCTTCTTCTTCTCCTCCTCCTCCTCCTCCTTCTTCTCCTTCTTTTTCTTCTTCTTCTTCTTCCTCTTCTTCCTCTTCCTCTTCCTCCTCCTCCTCCTCCTCCTTCTTCTCCTTCTTTTTCCTCCTCCTCCTCCTCCTCCTCCTCCTCCTCTCCTCCTCCTCCTCCTCTTCTTCTTCTTCTTCTTCTTCTTCTTCTTCTTCTTCTTCTTCTTCTTCTTCTTCTTCTTCTTCTTCTTCTTCTTCTTCTTCTTCTTCTTCTTCTTCTTCTTCTTCTTCCCCTTTTTTCTCCTCCTCCTTCTCCTTATGAAAAGTTACAGAAACCTCATTAGCATGGTGTCTGGATGCAAACAGGAAAGTCAAGGTGAAAACTGCAATCTCAGGATTAAAAATCAAGAGTTTTTTTTTTTTTTTAATTTACATTATCAAAGAGTAGAAACTAATCCAGGAGAGAAGCAACCTAGAACTAAGGAGAAATTTCCTGACAGTTAGAACAATTCATCAATGGAACCACTTGCCTCCAGAAGTTGTGAATGCTCCAACACTGGAAGTTTTAAAGAAGAGACTGGACAGCCACTTGTCTGAAATGGTAGAGGGTTTCCTGCCTGAGCAGGGGGTTGGACTAGAAGACCTTCAAGGGTCCTTCCAACTCTTTTATACTGTTATTCTGTTCGTGCAATTCTGGCCATCCTCGAACTTTTTTGACCTCTCACAGACATCTCTAGATGCAAAAGTAAGTAAGTGCCCCTAGTTTTCTTCATGACATAAAATGGAGCGGTTTATAACTGATTACATTTTAAAGATCTGATCTGAAAGCACCTCCCAGATCTTTATGCTCAATTGTCACACCTAACTAGAAAAACATCGATGCAACTGGGATTTTTCTACTTACGTGATGAAGTAAGGATCTTCATCATTGATATTTATGATATTGACAATTAGGGTCCTCTTATCGCTAGCACCAATGCTGTCTGTTATGGTAACATTTAATGTATAGCTGTCAAAACAAAATAAAACACAAAATATCCAATGTATATCTGTCAGATCAAAATAAAACATGAAGTATTCAATATATGGCTACCAAAATAAATGCAGTACAAATAATACAATGCAATATAAATAAATACAAAAAATACAATGTAACATAAATGAATGAATTAATGAATGAATGAATACAAATACAATAGATGTAGGATTGCTCTAATGCCGTGATGGTGAACCTACGGCACGCATGTCACAGGTGGCATGCATAGCCATATCAGTGGGCATGTGAACTCAGCCGACCAGCTGATCTTTGGGTCTCCTGGGCCCACCAGAAGTAGGGAAACAAGCTGTTTCCTGCCGCCGGAGAACTTGGGGGGTGTAAGTGGGGAAGGCCCATTTTTCTTTCTCACCTGCTTCCAGGGCCTCTCTAGGAGTCTGGGGAGGGCGAAAATGGCTTCCGCCCCCCCGGAGGTCCTCCGGAGGCTGAAAATGGCCCGTTTAACAACTTCCGGTGGGACCGGAAGGCCTGTTTTTTGCTGTCCCCAGCCTCCAGGGCCTCTCTAGGAGTCTGGGGAGGGCGAAAACAGCCTTTCCTCCCCCCACCCCCCCGGGAGGTCCTCGGGAGGCCGAAAACAGCCCGTTTAACAACTTCCTCCCCCGCTTCCTGGCCCGTGAAGGCAAAAAGGTTAGCCATCACTGCTCTAATGGCTAAACCATGTTTAAAGTATCAAACCATCATTTCTTGATTTCTAGATCAATAATAGGATCTTACCTTGGGAAATCTTTCTCAAAATCAAATGACTTCAATGTAGAAATGGTTCCAGTTGCAGAAATTACAAAGAATGGGGAATCCGGACTCAGGGAAAACTGGAAGAAATAATCAGATGCAATGCAATCATTTGTAACACAGCATCTACAGCAGTGGTGGGATTCAGCCGGTTCACTCCGGGTCACACGAACCGGTAGGGGCGACTGTGGGAGGCGCCGCCCACCTGCCCAGACGTAATGCATGAGTACTGCGCATGTGCATGCTCACATTTGTGAACTGGTAGGGAAGCTAAGTGAATCCCACCTCTGGTCTACAGTATATATATTGCTAAAAGTGTCACAGTCATGATCTTTAACTGGGCAAAACAGGGCATCCCAGGGCAACCATTTTTGAACCAAGGTACTTCAAATGGGCTAATTTACAGAATGTGTCCCAAATCTGGGACCCGTGACTCCCGAAGGAATAAAATTTGGGAAAGTTGTGGCTGCTATCGCTTGCAGCTAGACTGCTGCTGTGATCACATGACCATTTTTAATGTTCTGTGACAGTTTCCCAGTCAGTCTAGCAATCCCTTGCTCCCTCCTCCATCCAGTAGCAGCCACTTACCTGCTTGTTGGGAAGGGAAGAAGGAAAGGAAGGAAGAAAAGAAGGAAGAAGGGAAGGGAAGGAGGGAAACAATGTTATTGTTTACTGTCTAACCTCTATGTTGTCCTGAGTAATCCTAAAAGGACATCTATATAAAACATCCAAATTAAATATATACATTTGTTTAAAAACATACACACGTGTGTGTATCTATATCTATATCTATATCTATATCTATATCTATATCTATATCTATATCTATAAAGGTAAAGATAAAGGTTCCCCTTGCACATATGTGCTAGTCATTCCTGACTCTAGGGGTTGGTGCTTATCTCTGTTTCAAAGCCGAAGAGCCAGCGCTGTCCGAAGACATCTCCATGGTCATGTGGCCGGCATGACTCAATGCCAAAGGCGCACGGAACGCTGTTACCTTCCCACCAAAGGTGGTCCCTATTTTTCTACTTGCATTTTTTTTACTTGCTTTTGAACTGCTAGGTTGGCAGAAGCTGGGACAAGTAACGGGAACTCACCCCGTTACACGGCACTAGGGATTCGAACCGCTAAACTGCTGACCTTTCTGATCGACAAGCTCAGTATCTTAGCCGCTGAGCCACCACGTCTCCTATATCTATATCTATGTCTATGTCTATGTCTATGTCTATGTCTATGTCTATCTATTTATCTATCCATACACACATTCCACACCTTTTTTTAACCAATATTGTGCCTGGTTGTGTTCATAACATATAAGAGAAGAGCAGGCAGAGTTAAGTGTGTCATCAGCTTAGAGTCGTTATGTTGCCACAAATGGTTCTAAGCCCAACCTTCTTGAATTCCATTGACCCATCTCTGGTGCCAATTTAGTACTGAATTTTCTTGTGTATAGGCGTGTACAATGCAACCTTTTTGAACTGCAACTTAACATATGGTCCTCATCCTTGCACTTGACAAGCAAAATCAACAACAATTCTTCCCGCTAAAGCCTAGAGCCAGTCTAATGTGGTAGTTTGGGGTTGGGCTAGAAATCAGGTACCCATAGGTTCTAGTCCTTCCTTAGTTATGAAAGCCAGGTTGATGACTTTGGGCCAGTAACGCACTCTCTCTCTCTCTCCCTCTCTCCCTCCCTAACCCACCTCTCAGGATTATTGTGGAGAAAACAGGAGGTAAGATTATTAGGTATGTTTGCTCCCCTGAGTTGACTAAAAATATCAGCTGCCATCTTATGCTTGCTTGTGCTTAGCTGCTGTGCAATGACAGACTGCCATGAACTGTGGGGAGCAGCAAGGGAGAGAGGAATGCTTGGGGAAACAAAAGTAAATGCGGTGCCTTCTCGAGAGGCTGCTTCAAGGTCAGCCAACGGGAAGAAGGAAGGGGCTGCATGCCAAACTGCGCTTGGACTGACTGTTATGAAAAACATCTTGCCTGAACCTGATTGGTTACCCTGGGATGGGCAAAGAGAGACTGTTAAACGAGGGAAAAGTTAGAACTTAGGAATTTTGGCGCGCGATTCTCAGTTCTGGCTTTGCACTACTGCGATACACTTGGTCTCTAATAAACTATACCTTTCTCAACAAACAGAGACAAGGATCATTTCCATTTAGAGAGGTTCAAGTCGTGGCAGGCCCGACAACTTAAGATAAAAATCAAATAAATTAATAAAGCTGAAGGGTAAACATTCCATTGTCCTGGCTCTTTGATTTCGCATGGCTTTGACAAATTGGTTTCGAAGGCTTGGCTGTCACAAGGGTGATATAACATACTGTGTACATTGGGCTTTTGTTTAAAGGACTATTTCTGAGGACTGGATCCAGCAGAGAATGATTGTCATGGATGTTAACATTAGTTGAATTTTACTCACCGTAACATTTTTAGGGCGAATCGTTTCAGGATCTCCCGCATGAATTTGATAAATATTTCCTGGTGGTGTATTTTCCAAGATGTAGATTATGACGGCTATATAGATAAAAGTAATATACGTTAATTTAAAGGGATTAAAACCAAGGGTGAAATGCTCCCGGTTCATACCGGATCACCTGATCCGGTAGCGATGGAGGTGGGTAGTTCGGAGAACCGGTAGCAAAAATCCCTGCTGAGATCCCAGCTGAGCTGCGCAATCATCAGAGGCTTTTTTTTTATTTTTAATCCTCAGAGGCTTTTAAAAGCATTTTTTCTACAACCTCTTCGGCCGAAAAGGTTGTAGAAAAAAATGTTTTTAAAAGGAAAAAAAAGCCTCTGCCGATCAGGCAAGTCAGCTGGGATTGTCAGAGGCTTTAAAAGCTTTTTTTTTTTAAAAAAGCAAAACTCCATGCCCAGCTGAGCCACGCGATCATCAGAGGCTTTTTTTTTTTTTTACACTTTTAAAAGCATTTTTTCTACAACCTCTTCGGCCGAAAAAAATGCTTTTAAAAGTAAAAAAAAAAAAAGCCTCTGATGATCGCGCAGCTCAGCTGGGATCGTCAGAGCCTTTTAAAAGTCAAAGAGGTTGTAGAAAAAAATGCTTTTAAAAGTAAAAAAAAAAATGTTGGCCACACCCATTCAGTCATATTACCCCCCCAAGCCACGCCCACAGAACCGGTAGTAACAAATGCTACATTTCACCACTGATTAAAACTATTCTATAAAGCTGAAGTGACAACTTGGGATTCAGTTCTTCGTTCTGGAAGGAGTTTTCCCCCTTCCTCTTCCTCTTCCTCTTCCTCTTCCTGTCCATTATGTGGGTTTTGTAAGCCCCAACTCTGGGTTTCTCTGTTCTTTAATACGGTAGATATATGTCACTTTCATCCCATTTTTACACACCGTTTTAGTAAATTTTGAAAGCAGTGCTTCTCTCTATATAATTGGTTTTTAAAGAATGGAAATCAATAGTACAGGTAGTCCTTGAATTACGATCACTATGGCGCTCAATATTACTGTTGCTGAGCCAGACATTTGTTAAGTGAGATTTGCCCCATTTTATGAATTTTCTCGCCCTAGTTGTTAAGTGAATCACTACAGTTGTTAAATTAATCATATGGTTGTTAAGTGAATCTGGCTTCATCAGAAGGTCTCAAACGGTGATCCCATGACCGCAGGGCAGTGGAACCGTCATAAATATGAATCGGTTGCTAAAAGCATCTGAATTTTGAACGCGTGACTATGGGGATACCGCAACTGTCAGTTTAAATTTACGAGGCAGTCATAAGTTAATTTTTTTCTGTCAGTTTATTTCAATTTGGAACGGTAGACAAAAGCAAACGGTTGAAAGTCAAGGACGGCAAAACCTGGTTTTAAACCAAGACAGGGTCTTACTTTGATTTGCCAAGTTGCCTTGAAACACCGGTGGTTCATTTACGTCGCTCACTTGGACGGTCAGAATCTGTAGTTCCATGGCGCCCGCGGAATCGGCAACAAGGATCTGCAGATCGAATGTGTGGGGCATCGTTTCATAATCTAGAAGGGGGTCTCCTGTAGTAACCACCTGAAACGATAAAACCAAGATAAATTAGGAACAAATATCAGATGGGGCACTGATGGCTTACCTTTTACATCACCGCGTGCTGCCCTGCATGCCAAAAATGGCACGCAAAACCATCCCGCCTGGATCGCGTGGCTTCGCTGGCCTTCGCGTACTCAGGAGTGTGAAAACCCAGAAGAGCAGCGTTCAGTCACGCATGTGCGTGCCGGTACCTGAACTTCCGATTTCCGGTACGGACGTGCGTCTGACAAACAACTGGCCATCGCGCATGTGCGAGATGTAAACCCGGAAGTTTGGGTGCCGGAGTACGCGTGCATAACGGAATGCTGCTCTTTTGGGTTTTGGCACTCTCACGCACGTGAAGGCCAGCTGACCGGCACACATGTGTGCACAGGAATACGGAAGAGGAGCCAGAGAAGCCGCGCATCCCTTGCAGGATGGTTCTGCGTGCCGCTTCTGGCACGTGTTCCATAGGTTCGCCAACACGGAGATGGGGGATCAGGTTTACATGGCGTTAAAATCAGTAGGTTTAAATTAGGGCGCTTCCGTAGTAGCATTGTCCCTGCTTCCGAAGGCCTATGAATTTGGAAGTCAATTTATGATCATCCTGACATGCGGAGGATATGCTGGAAATACCAGGAGCCAATTAGCGCATACCTTCTAGCTGATCCATCAAAGAATGCAGAAAGTATCATCCAATCGGTGTCTTTTTCCCTAACCGATTGCAATTACTGGAATAACAAACTGTTATTTGGACTGGATCATAGAATAATATGATTGGAAGGGACCTTAGAGGTCTTCTAGTCCAAGCTCTTGCCCTTGCTCTATACCTGTGATGGCAAACCTATGGCATATGTGCCACAAGTGGCGCATTGTTCTACCCCAGCTATGGACCCCAAAGAACGCAGCACACACAAAGTCTGTACAAACCTTAGTTTTCTAAATTAAACCAGTCTTTTCCAAACAAAGGTTGTTCATTAACTTTCTTAACAGCCTACAAGAATCCAAAGAATAAATAATCGTAATCTTACTATGGTTGGCAGAAAGCCCAAAAGCAGAAAACTATGATCAAGACGCGAAGGAGAGTGAACAAAGTTGTTCCCTGCAAATTGCTTCAGTCGTCGTCCTTCCTTAAATAGGCTAAGGGAGTGGCCAATTAGCCCCAAGCCTTACTCTCGAGGAGACCTCCTCCTGAGGAGCCACTCCTGCTTTTTGGCAGCTCTGTGTGCCCGTGCGTCGAGAAGAGGCTCCTCCTCTTCTTCCTCTTCACTTATGGGAGCTTCTGGAGGTTCTGAAGGCCTTGGCTGAGTCCCCGCCTCTGGCACCACATCTTCTCCAGCCTCCTCATTGTCCGACTCGGGTGCCAGCTGCACAGGCTGCTGGGGCAGCACCACACCAGCCTCCTTGCTGTCGGAATCAGCTACTAGCTGCACAGGCCGCTGACGGGCCACAACACTCGCGGAGCCATATCAGTGAGCATGTGAGCGTTGCCCTAGGTCAGCTGCAGCGCGCATGCATGTGCCGGCCAGATGATTTTGGGGCCTTTCGGGCCCACCGGAAGTCAGGAAACAGGCTCTTTCTGGCCTCCGGAGGGCCTCTGTGGGGGGGGTGGGGTCGCGAAGGCCATTTTCGCCCTTCCCTGGCTCCAAGAGAGCCTCTGGAGCCTGGGGAGGGCAAAAGCGCCAGGCCTACCAGGCCCACTGTGCCATCGCGTGCCAAAAGTGGGGGGAGTGCAGGGCGCATTGAATTATGGGTGTGGGCACGCATGCGTGTGACACCCCCCACCCACCCCCGCGCTCCTTCCGCTTTTGGCACAGGATGGCAAAAAGGTTAGCCGTCACTGCCCTATACCATTCTGGACAAATGGTTGTCTTAAAAATCGTCCAGTGGAGTAAGAGTAGAGTAGAACAGAATAACGAGTTGGAAGGGACCTTGGAGGTCATCTAGTCCAACTCCGCCTAGGCAGGAAACCCTACACCACTTCAGACAAATGGTTATCCAACCTCTTCGTAAAAACTTCCAGTGTTGGAGCATCCACAACTTCTGGAGGCAAGTCGTTCCACTGGTTAATTGTCCTCACTGTCAGGAAATTTCTCCTAAGTTCTAAGTTGCTTCTCTCCTTGATTAGTTTCCACCCATTGTTTCTTGTCCTACCCTCAGGTGCTTTGGAGAACAGTTTGACCCCCTCTTCTTTGTGGCAGCCCCCGAGAAGACTGCTATCATGTCTCCCCTGGTCCTTCTTTTCTTTAGACATACCCAATTCCTGCAACCGTTCTTCATATGTTTTAGTCTCCAGCCCCCTAATCATCTTGGTTGCTCTTCTCTGCACTCTTTCTAGAGTCTCCACATCTTTTTTTACATCAGGTTGAGCGTGATAACATTACATTGATGTCAATGTGACCCAGATTGATCAAAGTCCTGTTCATTAATTTACATGAACTGGGCCATCATCTTGATTTTTGTGACTGTCCTGTGGACATCCCTAGACGTGCTAACAAAGAATACAGGTAGTCCTCAAATTACAAGAATTCATTTAGTGACCATAGAACGGTACTGAAAAAAGCGAGTTATGATGGTTTTTCACACTAATTGCATTGCAGCATCCCCGTGGTCATATGATCTAAATTTCAGATGCTTGGCAACTGTCTCATATTTATGACGGTTGCAGCGTCTCGGGGTCCTGCAATCCCCTTTTGCGAACTTCCGGCAAGCAAAATCAATGGGGAAGCCAGATTCACTTTGCAACGGTGTGGCTAACTGAACAACTGTAGAGATTCTTCACTTAACAACTGTGAGAAGAAAGATTGTAGAATGGGGCAAAACTCACTTAGCAACGGTCTAGCTTAGCAACAGAAATTTGGGGGGCTCGATTGTGGTCGTACGTCGAGGACTGCCTGTCAAGCTTTGAAATATGTTTTTGCTGTTGCAACCATTTTCGCTTCCAAGGGGAACCAAGGGGAAATGGAATGTAGCAAGAGGACAGCCGTGAGAACCAAGGACACTTCCACAGGTGTTTGCCAGAGTCAAAAGACTTTCTCATATCAATATCACGAGACTCAATTGGACAATGTGACCCAGTCTAGTGGGGGGAGAGAAATATTATACTTTAACCATGTGGGTTTGCGAGGAAAATAGCTGGGCCAAAATGATGTACTCAATAAAGCTTTGCAGTAAGACAGTGGTGTCAAAGCCGTGGTGTCACGTTGTCGTCATGTGACACATCGTGACTTTTTACCTCTTCGCTAAACCGGGGATAGGCGTGGCCAGCATATGACGCATCTGGCCCGTGGGCCGCGAGTTTAACACCCCTGCATTAAGAGATTGGATTATTTATTTATTTATTTAAATTTTTATACCGCCCCCTCTCCCGAAGGACTCGGGGCGGTGAACAGCCAAAATTAAAAACACACAATACAAACATTAAAATACTATAAAATGAAATTAAATTTATCTTTGGATCATCTGAATCCTGCTTGGTTTGGTTGGGTTTCAGAGGTGGGTTTCAGCCGGTTCTGACCAGTTCTTGCGAACTGGAATGGAAATTTTGAGTAATTCGGAGAACCGGTAAATACCACCTCTTCCTGGCCCCACCCCGTCTATTCGCTACCTCCCAGTCTCCCAGCTGATCAGCTAGAAGGAAAAAATCAGGGCTCGCTTTTCAGCTGGGAGATCACTTGGCAAAGAAGAAGAAGGAAAAAAAAAACCAAGACGCCGTTGCTTTAAATTGACAAGCGAAGAAGCAGATGCTGGAAGGAGGTTTTTACTTGCAGAAGCGAAGTGACATTCAACAGTTCGTTTCTGGGTCAGCTGAACAACAAACTGGATAAGAGGAGGGATTCTTATATGGTTCTATGTTTTTGAAGTTTTGGGGTTTGTGCAACATGGGCTTTGTGTTTCTAAAAAGGTTTGGGCGATTTCCATGGTGAAATATCCTGTCTTGAATGAGTTTTCTGCCTGCTTGTAAATGGAGCCGAACTTCCGCCTTCCACTTTTTATTATCTCTAAGCACCAGTAGCTGTTTCCTTCTTACAAAGTTTCCTTTATGCAGCTGGCAGGAATGTGGAATGAGCCTCAGGCAGGTTCCTTTGTTAGCAGCTTGATTTTTCCTTGCTTTTCTGGGAGCCTTTTCTTATGAGTAATATTTTATTTGGGGAAATGTAGAGGGGGGAGCTTGATTCCTTCCCAGAGCAGGTTAGTGGGCTGGGGAGGGAATGGGGATTTTGCAGTATCCTTCCCCTGTCACGCCCACCAAGCCACGCCCACCAAGCCACACCCACAGAACCGGTAGTAAAAAGTTTTGAAACCCACCACTGTTGGGTTCCTCCGTCGGAACCTTGACATTAAATCCGATCCAGTTACCTGGATCTGTTTCTTGTTTACGGCCACAGCTTCTGCTGCTAAAGAAAGACGTACCTGGTACTCGAGTGGAGATACGGGGTTGATCCGGAAGGCTTTTGTGAGTGGATTTGAATTGATGATTAATGGATACTCAAATGGTATTGTAATGGTTGGCAACAGGTATGGCGTTAGGTTGACCCGGAATGTATGCACCACGGTACCAGAAGGTGAATTTTCTCTAATATTGCCCGTTGCAGGTAGACCAGTAAAGTTGAGATTTTCTACCCCTGTAGATTATGGACAATAAAAACAGGCGTTTTTGGGGGGAAGCATCATTTCAAGGTGCAAATCACTCAGCACGTAAACCTCCCCGTTAAAAAGAAACAATGATGTTTACAGAGGTGTCTGGGGTGTGTGTGGTAGCAGTGGTGGGTTGCCCCCCGATTCGCACTGGTTCTATAGAACCGCTAGTAAAACCGGTGGGAGGCTCCGCCCACTGACCCCGACGTCATCAGAACGCTTCTGCGCATGCGCAGAAGAGCGCGCGCACGAGTGAAGCAAGCAAGCGCGCACGTGCGGCCCCGTTGCGAACTGGTAGTAAAGGTAAGTAGAACCCACCCCTGGGTGGTAGGTCAAAAAATTTTTTGTTTTAACCACCTATAAATGCTCCGGCTGTTTCTTCCTCTTCTATTCTGTGTGCGAGGGCATCTATTGAGGTACAGGTAGTCCTCGACTTACAACGGTTCATTCATTGACCGTTTGAAGTGGCAGCGGCCCTGAAAATATTGACCTGTTTTTCACACCTTTCATGCAACCATTGCAGCATTCCCATGATTCAGACGCTTGGCAACTGATTCATATTTATGACGGCTGCAGTGTCCTGGGGTGACATGATCCCAGTGGTGGGATTCAAAAATTTTTACTACTGGTTCTGTGGGCGTGGTTTGGTGGGTGTGACTTGGTGGGCATGGCAGGGGAAGGATACTGTAAAATCTCCATTCCCACCCCACTCCAGGGGAAGGATACTGTAAAATCTCCATTCCCTCCCCACTCTATAGATAGACACCCCACTGTCTGTCTGTCTGTCTGTCTGTCTGTCTGTCTGTCTGTCTGTCTGTCTATCTATCTATCTATCTATCTATCTATCTCTATCTATCTATCTATCTATCTATCTATCTATCTATCTATCTATCTATCCATCCATCCATCCATCCATCCATCCATCCATTTAATAATTTAAATAAACCCACGATAGGATGTAAAGTAAAGCTGAATCTAAGGTCACTTAGTAACAAACCGTTTTTATGACCCTATCAACACAAATATTCAAACTAGGGAGCAAATGATATTATTGATCTATATTCGGATGTAATTTATTAGCTGTACTGCAGAACAAATCATGGGTTTCCTATGACTCCTAGAGTGGTAAACCTAATTGACTAGGATTCATCCAGCTGGGATGACAGTGTCTGAAAAATTGGAACTACAGATCTCAGAATTCCTGTTGGGAATTCTGCAAGGGGTGGCCCCGCCCATTTCCTTTTCATCCAATAGGAAGGCTGGTTTTTTTCCTTTTAATTTTATATGCTGCACAGGCTGGCAGCTGGCCAAATAAACTCTTCAAGCAATTTACAGTGAATCACTAAACACGATTATAATCGCAATAAATACTTAAGTTCCATAGCCAATAGCCATAAAATAAAATTAGATGAGTCTAAGCACAAAGCCAATTAATACGAGATATCAGTCAATTAGCTATAAAAGTTTTCTGAAAGGGAAATGCTTTTGTTGGCTTGCTTAAAAAAAAAAAAAGCACGAGACGGATGAGATGATTTTTACCGCATTATATTGATTTTCCCTGTTTCATTGTGCCCGTATGAAGTCTTTATTGGAATTGGAGTGTCTATAAAGCTGAAGTCTCAGGATAAAAAGCAAGGACATATCCATTGAGAAAAATACTTGTCCTTTTCTGTAGCTGCACCTGACAAATTCCAAGCAGCAAACAAACGAAAGTTTAAAACTAGGTTTAATTGGGCATAAAGGATCCTTGGTGAAGAATTATGTTGGGCTTAATAAAACATATTGGTTGCTGGGATTTAAACTAAGAATAAAAGACTAAAGATCAGTTCATACAACGTCCTGTGTTCTTAAGCATAGGAATGTATTGAATATATATCCAGAATCCCTTAAATTAAATTAAACTAATTAATCGGTGGAACAACTTGCCTCTAGAAGTTGTGAATGCTCCAACACTGGAAATTTTTAAGAAGATGTTGGGTAACCATTTGTCTGAAGTGGTGTAGGGTTTCCTACTGCCTACTTCGAGTATGCGCCTTCATTTTGAAAATTAAGAATATGGGCGAATTATAAGGGATCTTACCTGCATTGATTGAAAATGGCCTTATTTATGTCTTATGTCTCCATCCCGATGCAAGGAATTACAGGGTCGTTAAAAAGAAAAAAAAATCTTATATTCTTGTTTGAGTAGTTTCTCAAACAAGAATATAAGAATTATTTTTCTTTTTAATGGCCCTGTAATCCCTTGCATCTAAGTTCTAAGTTATCGTTTTGATTGTAATCTGTGTACTGGCAAAAGAGTTACTCGTGCCAGTTGATAAATTGTTGAAATATCTTAGCTTTAAAAAAAAAAAAAAACCTTACAAGGGGACTATATCGGAGTAACTCGGTGTAGCAGTTACTCAAAAATTAAAACTATTCTAAGAGATCATTAAGTAAAACAAACCTCCGTATTTAAGATGAATAAAAGTAGTCTCTTACCAGATATTTTTACTAGTAAAACAATGAAGCAAAGGTAGACGCCATCCGGAGTCTTTCTGAAAAGGCAGCCATCCATGATAAACAGATTTTGAGATTGTTGTCTCGAGATTATTGCGATTCCATTGATTGTTGCTTCGAGATTGTTGCGGTTCCATTGATAGGTGTGCTCCTTATCAGGCAGTGCGAATGACAATCCAACAAAGCTTTCGCCAGTAACCAGGGAGTTTCTAAAACACAAGCCTGTGTACTTTTCCATGAGTAGTTTAGTGATAGTAATCTGATATGAAATTCAGGAAACTCATAGAGAAGGGATAGCAAAGGATGAATTCACACACACACACAAACAAACAAACACACATCAGGCTAGATGTGATTATCTTAGTTAACTTCTCTGTGCGGTCTTAAATAATACATAGCAAAATATTTATAAGATGGTTTATTGATGGCACCTATCTCCAGCAAGATTAGCTAAAATGTTCCCCGGGACATCTTCACAGTGCTGGAAATGTGGGCATAGCAATGGAACTTACTTCCACAAATGGTGGACATGCCCACTGGCAGCTAAATATTGGACGAAAATATGATGATGGTTGCTTGAAATCACACACTGTAGAGAGGAACTGAAACTGCAGATAATTACTGCTGGGAGACTGGCATTCACACAAAAATGGAAGAATGAGGACTTACCAACGGACTCAAAAATAATTTATAAAATCATGGAATGTGCGGAGTCCGATAGACTTACAAAACTGATCAAGGGTAAAAGAGACTGAGACTTTTATGGTAGTTAGAATATGATTGGACCCAGAAACGATGGGAGAGAGACAAAGGATAATGTTGGATTATAATTATAGATGATGGTATATTTATGGTAATTAATAAGTATTGGAAATGTAAATTTGTATACAAGAATCTGTAAATATTTTCTATTTTTACTCTCTGATTATTGGTGTATGTATGTGTATATATATATATATATATATATATATATATGGATATTTTGGCGATGTTACACAGTGATAGAAAAATTATTATACATTTGTTTCTTTTGTATTGTACTATTTTAAAAATAAAATTAAGAAAAAAAAATTAATAATAATACGTAGCAAAATAGTAAAAAAGATTGGGGACTCCAGAAAGAGTGCAGAGAAGAGCAACAAAGATGATTAGGGGACTAAAACATATAAAGAACTGTTGCAGGAATTGGGTATGTCTAGTTTAATTAAAAGAAGGACTGGGGGCAGTGGTGGGTTGCCCCCGGTTTGCACCGGTTCTATAGAACCGGTAGTAAAACCGATGGGAGGCTCCGCCCACTGACCCCGACGTCATCAGAACGCTTCTGCGCTTGCGCAGAAGAGCGCACGCACGAGCGAAGCAAGTGCGCGCGCATGGCCCCGTTACGAACCGGTAGTAAAGGTAAGTAGAACCCACCCCTGACTGTGGGGACATGATAGCAGTGTTCCAATATCTCAGGGGTCACCACAAAGAAGTGGGGGGATCAACCTATTCTCCAAAGCAAATGAAGGCAGGACAAGAAGCAATGGGTGGAAACCAATTAAGGAGAGAAGCAACCTAGAACTAAGGAGAAATTTCCTGACAGTGAGAACAATTAACCAGTGGAACTACTTGCCTCCAGAAAGTTGTGAATACTCCAACACTGGAAGTTCTAAAGAAGAGATTGGACAATTATTTGTTTGAAATGGTATTGTCAGATTTCGCTGCTATCTTAAATAAACTTCATTCTCAAACGCAAGGTCTCTAATGAATCTTTTTTTTTTATTTAAGAATAGAAAGAACGACATCCCTGAACTCTTTGTGCAGCCAAAACTGGCACCTCCTTCCAAACCCCTCCCTTTCCGTTCCTCAACCCCAATGTCTCATTGGCCATCGTGCAGATCCATCTCTTCGTCCCAAGCACTTTCTTTTCACAGGAATTCCCCCCTCCCTCTATCACCCAGGTAACGCTATCTACTAAAGAGCAGGAAACTAGGTAAAAGTTCATCTCAGCATTAAAGCAAAGCTTCTCCCTCTCTCATTCATGTCAGCGCTGGAGGAGATCATAATTTGGAACGCTGACAGGTATAGGGCCGTGATGGTGAACCTATGGCACGCATGCCAGAGGTGGCACGCAGTGCCTTCTCTAATGGCACATGAGGCATCGCCCCCGTTCAGCTTGCTGCGTATGTGCACGCGCCTCCCTCCGGCCACCTGGTCTTTGGGTATTTGCTGCGGGGGGCAGGGTGCATGTGGGAGGCCACACGTGCATGCGCATGGGGATCAGGGCGCATGCAAGGACCATGCACGCATGCACAGGGGCCACGCATGTCTTGCATTTTGGGGATTCTAGCATGTGTGCGTGCATTGGCATGCATGCCTTTGCGCTTTGGGCACTCGGTCCGGAAAAGGTTAGCCATTACTGGTATAGGGTTTCCTGCTTAAGCAGGGGGTTGGACTAGAAGACCTCCAAGGTCCCTTCCAACTCAGTTATTCTGTTCTGTTCTGTTCCGTTCTATTCTATTGACAATTGCAAGACAGAAATGCTGAAGGAAATAGAATATCCGTACAAGCTGGGATAATATATGCCTCGGCTAAAAGAGCTTTTTAGAATTACCGATGGATGATGTATGAGGCTATGGTTTTATGATTATTTAATGGTTCGTAATCATAAAATATTACAATTTGTACGAGTATTGTTTTATTGTGTCTTATGTTTTCGCTGTGGGAGGCTTAGCGTCTGGCCGACTGAAGCAGTATAAAAGCATCTGTTCATAAACAAATAAACATTCGAAATCAACAGGATGAAATAAAAGTAATAATTTGGAGTGTGGTAAGTTTTGAAACCTTCACACAATCGAAGGATCATTTGAATCCTCCCTGGTTATATTTTGGGAATGAATCTGAGATAGGCATTAAATGTAATGTGAACTACTCAGAAAAATCAGATTTTTTTTCTATTCTATTATACTGTAGCCTACTCTATTTTTTTGTATTCTTTATTTTATTATGCTCTATTCTATTCTATTCTATTCTATTCTATTCTATTCTATTCTATTCTATTCTATTCTATTCTATTCTATTCTTACTATTTCTATCCCATTCCTATTTCTATCCCATTCCTAATTCTATGCTATTCTATCCTTATCCTACTCTACTCTACTCTACTCTAACGCTACCCAGTGGTAGGTTTCGAATTTTTTACTACCGGTTCTGTGGGTGTGGCTTGGTGGGCATGGCATGGCATGGCTTGGTGGGTGTGTCTTGGTGGGCGTGGCAGGGGAAGGATACTGCAAAATCTCCATTCCCACCCCATTCCAGGGGAAGGTTACTGCAAAATCCCCATTTTGATCCCCATCAAAATTTCCGCTACCAGTTCTCCAGAACTGGTCAGAACCTGCTGAAACCCACCTCTGATATACATATACAGAGAGAGAGAGAGAGCGAGGGAGGGAGGGAGGAGGGGGGGGGAGAGAGAGAGAAGAGCATTTTAGAATATAAAGCAAACATAATAGGCATTGCAAAAAGAATATACTCTGTACACCTAGCAGGTGAGCATTTGCAACAGCTTTGTGCATTAACAAATTTGAGCATGGATCAACACTGAAAATGTCACTGCTGACATAACATCCAGAGGTGGGTTTCAGCAGGTTCTGACCAGTTCTGGAGAACCGGTAGCGGAAATTTTGAGTAGTTCAGAGAACCGGTAAATACCGCCTCTGACTGGTCCCGCCCCCATCTATTCTCTGCCTCCCGAGTCCCAGCTGATGGGGAAGAAATGGGGATTTTGCAGTAACCTTCCCCTGGAATGGGGTGGGAATGGAGATTTTACAGTATCCTTCCCCTGCCACGCCCACCAAGCCGCGCCCACAAAACCGGTAGTATAAAAATTTGAAACCCACCACTGATAACATCAAAGAAATAATATTTTGGAGATATTTTTTCTTTGAGCACATTTACTTGAAAAGAAAACTCCATTCTGAATGCCTATGGATCTGCTGTTCCTTCACGTGCCCTTTTTGGGGGGAGTCATTGTTAGGAATAGAAATCCCAGATGGGAATTTGTCCCAAACCTCAGATTTGTAGGATTGTGAAATAAAGCAGTGGTATGCCTGCACTCACTGGGGAAACTTATTGTGCGTTGCTCCTCACCAAATTCCCCGATTCTTAGATTTAGGAAATATTGCCACCTAGTGCCACAAGGTCTGGCTTTTACATTTTGATTAAACTTTATAAAGCAATATAATAATGCGCTCTTGGCTTTTTGGTGTTTCTCAAAATGAGATTACCTTTCAATGAAATAGTCTCTCTTTCCTTTTGGGTGAAATAACTTGATTTTGAACAAAACACAGCAGAATGATGATTGATAGCTAATGCCTACTTTCTGATGTATATGTCAACCATGGCTTTTAAAAATTTAAGGTGACCATGATCTGTCCCCAACCCCACGCACACACCCCAACAGACGTTCAGGAGTTAAAGACCAAACCAGCCGGCAAAATCCTTTTCCTTATGATAACGGAACTTGGCAACAACCTAGTGGCTGCCTGCCAAGAGTTTATTATTTACAAAGAGGAGAGATAACTTTTCCTCACTTCTGGTACATCAAAAGAAACAGCTCAATAATTACAGAGTCAATCAAGTCCAGAGCTAATCCAGCAAAGTCTATAGCAAAAGTCCGGCAATGCAGAATGGCGTGGAAACTTTCAGCTTTGTTCGTCACAAGGTTTGACTGGCCACCACGCTCCCTTTTATATCCTGTGGGGTGTGGTCCAGTGACTCAGCCTAATCTCGGGCACGCCCTTTCTTCTGTTGCGCGCGCTTATCTCTGCGACGCTGCCGAGGATCCAGCCAAGACTCATTACCCTCATCACTGTCCACCTGTGGCTGCGTGGACGTGCTTGGCCCCGGCCCTATCTCTTGCCCTTCGGCGGACACCGAAGGCATTGCCAGAGAGGAGGGAGAGGGAGGCCTTGCCGACTCCTCCCCTTCACTCTTGGAGTCCTCTCCTGACGATGACACAGGCTCCGGTAACGGAGCCACAACAGACCACAGGATGTAAACTGCATGTGCCCTGAACTTTAAAAATCATGACCAAATGTTTTGTAGACATTACATGTCTACTTAAACATTATAATCTGATTTTTCAGCCAAATGGAAGGAAGAAATGTTTGATCCAAAGCACCCTTATCATCATCTTTTAATGTCCCCATAATCCCTGGGCAACTAAATGGAGCTGAGTGATTACTGGCCAGATGCCCTTCCTGTCACCAATGAGGAGTTATATCCAAAGCACTCTTATGTAGCGTGGAATTCCACTGGGCGCAATAATAGTGCTACATAATAAGAATATTAATTGAGGAGTTAATTTCTACCCAGTGAAGATACGGTAGTAATTAGGTTATTAATCAGTTAATACACGTGAATAAATATGGCAAGACAGCAATACATTCTTTTGAATTTATTTAATGAAGAATAGTATCGCTTGAATTTATTTATTTATTTATTTATTTATTTATTTATTTATTTATTTATTTATTTTAATTTGATTTATATGCCGCCCTTCTCCGGAGACTCAGGGCGGCTTACAATGCGCTAAGCAATAGCCTTCATCTTTTTGTATATTTATACAAAGTCAGCTTATTGCCCCCACAACTGGGTCCTCAATTTACCTACCTTAGAAAGGATGGAAGGCTGAGGCAACCTTGAGCCTGGCGAGATTCGAACCTGCAGTAATTG